CTTAAGTATCAGTATCCTATAATATACGTAATTCTCTATATCGGCGACCTCTAGTATTAATATCCTGCAATATATACTAATACCAAGGTCAGCTGAACAAAGTATACACAATTCTCTATATTAGCGACCTCGAGTATCGACATCCTCTAATACACAATTCCCCCTATCAGCGACCTCGAGTATCAGTATCCTATAATATACACAATTCTCTGTATCGGCGACCTTGAGTATTAGTATCCTCTAATACACGCAATTCCCCCTATCGGCGACCTCGAGTATCAGTATCCTATAATACACATAATTCTCTATATCAGTGACCTCAAGTATTGACATCCTCTAATATATGCAATTCCCCCTATTAGCGACCTCGAGTATTAGTATCCTATAATATACATAATTCTCTGTATCAGTGACCTTAAGTATCGATATCCTCTAATATATATAATTCCCCTATCGGCAACCTCAAGTATTAGTATCCTATAATATATATAATTCTCTGTATCGGCGACCTCAAGTATTAATATCCTATAATATATACTAATACTAAGGTCAGCTAAATAAAGTATATACAATTCTCTATATTAGTGACCTTAAGTATCGATATCCTCTAATATATATAATTCCCTCTATTAGTGACCTTAAGCATTAATATCCTATAATATATACTAATACTAAGGTCAGCTAAATAAAGTATATACAATTCCCCCTATAAAAGATATAGAGTATCTATATCCTATAATATATACTAATAGTAATATTAGTTTAATAACCTATACCCAATTCCCTAATATAATTAATTATTATATACTAGTTCTACTATATAATATAAGTTTCGGGAGAAGGTAGTCTATAGTAGAATCTTAGACTTAAGAAAAGTGGGTAAGTTAGCCTATTAGATAATATATAGTTAACCCTATTAAAATATCTCGAATTAGCCTATATAATAAAGGGCTAATACCTAGTACTAAGGCTAGGCTTAGAACTTATACTTTTATAAGTAGACTTCTTAGGGAGTTAAATATAAACTATTAAAACCTTAGCGCGATTTAGCCTAGTTTAGTCGATTAGATAGGGGTAGAAATTTATATATAAGTATTTAGTTATATATAACTTAATAGAAGCTTAGTATAGGAAGGCTCTACCTTAGCGACTATATCAAAATTTTTAAGATATTTAAATACCTATAATATACTTTATAGTAAGGGTATAAACTTATAATCTTAATATTAGATATTTAACTCTATACTTTACTACCTATAAAAGTTTTAAAATAATTAAGGCTAGGCTGCGGTCTATACCTAGGGTAGATAATTCTTAGCTAACCATTCTACAGCTGCCCTACACTATATTATTATATTTTAGCTATTACTCTTTATTTCCTAATTATATATACTCCTACTAGGCTCTAGTTCTAGAAATTAGCAGGGATATTTACAATAGAGTTATATTAAAGTATACGAAATCAGAAATAAAATTAAGCAGGAATTGCGTATATATATACTCAGTACTGAGAGAAAGATTCAAAATGGTACCGGGCAAAGTGGATGCGCGCGGGAACCAACCACATCTACTAAATACCCGTATGTCACTGTATATAAACTTGGTTGAGCCCTGAACGGCCCTCCCCCATGGGATAAACCAAGTACGTGCCGTGGAGACTCGGCTGCTAAGACCGGACTATTCCAATTCTCTCAAGAGGGCGCAAAGCGTAGAGAGCACAGCTGAATAGGTTGATGAGCACCAGTCGGCCAAATGCAGCGGCCAGTGGGGAGGGAGCGTGGAGCGGCTCCACTAATGCGTGAATTGTTGGCACGAAGGCCAACAGGCGCACTGACGAAAATTGGAGAGACAACCGACCGGGAAACGTCCCAGTATTCATGTCTTTGAGATAAGCGTCTGAAAGGCTTCCAACAGCGACCACGGTGAAAGCCGATGCGTATCCAAGTTGTAGCAACGGTTGGGCCTGATTTGACCATGAATTCGGCCACAATTGTGCGAGCCTCTGGCCGCGTCCGAAGCCCGTCCCCTGCGAAGAGTGGTTTGGCGGACAGGGCGTTTCAAATAGGCGAGGCTAGTCCTATGATCTCGGATCAAAGATATCGCTGACATCGCAACAATCTCGCAGTCTTTTTAGAGAAGCCAAATCCGAGCACTCTGACTCATAGAACATTCAACGCATACTAACTGATGTGACTACAGTGTAGTGATGCGATGAAAGAGGGAGAGAGTTGTCAATTCCTAAAGGGCAGAATGCCCGACTATCTAGTTATGGGGGTTGGTGCCTGCCGCACCGGGCTGATGGTCAGGTGACCACCATGTCCAACAAATAGTATTTCCTACTTGGATAGAGAACCCTCATTTGGACGGGAGATAAAACAAGATGTCGGAATTGTGGATCTATGTAATTAGATAATCCTTACCCTACAAACAGAGGAGCTACTCCGGCACTGAGTCACCGACTCTCTTGGCGCCCTATCTAGCATGGACACGAGCCTCTGTAAGGCCTGACGGACAAGCCGACAGTTGCGAGACAAATTGTTGAAGATATTCGGGGAATCAGGAAAGTTCACGCTCTAACACGGCTCTACTAACACATGATACAACCTACTAGGTAACTGCTCATATCATTCTGAACGACCCGGAAACCACGCCAAGCCCCAGACCGTGCGTTTGTCTCCGGACTCCGGTGCCAAGACAGTGCCAAGATACGACCCAAGACGGCGCCAAAGTCTTGACTTCAGAAATAGTGCTTAGTGTCAGCTATTTGGGGTCACATCATAGAGGCTTGGCTACCGTGAGGAATGGCCCGTTTGGGACGAGAAGCGGTGCCAAGTCCACAAGAAAGGAGTGTATTGCACGGGAGCCCCGGAGGAATGTGGAGCGGCCTGCCCAGTCGGCTTGGCATAGAATTAACAGGTTTGATTGGTTGAAATGAGAGACCAACAACATGATCAGCAATTCCAGATAACGCGTGATAAGATTCTCTCCTCTGGTCTTTCAACAACCCAAGGCCCGCGATACTACTAGTAACTTGCCGGCTGTCTCTATTCTATTATTTTCCTCGCACCTTGATCACGGAAACGACTTTTTCGCAACTATGTCAAACTTGAGTTTACAGGTCACCGTGGCCCTTCAGGCACCAATCTCCGAAGCACAAGAGTCATTTGCTCTACCAATCAAAGTTTCTGTTCACAATGCCGCAGATACACCAGTCACCATTCTACGATGGGGCAGTCCATTGGACCCTCAGGCTGGTGTTCTCGGTGTCTTCCAGATTTGTGACACAACGGCCCAACGGAAACTGCCCATCCCTACTATTATGGTATCACGCAAGCTACCTGCCTCCGAGGATGATCTCGTTGAGATACAAGCGCGACACAGCCTTGATGTAACTGTGAATTTGCCGATTCTAGGCCTCGAAAAGGGACATGAATATTCTGTTCGTGCACAGGGAACTTGGCATGCGGTGTGGTCAACTGAATTATCCAATGTGACTACATCCCAACTCAGAGATAACGAAGGTGCCAATCGCGGGGATTTCCTTTCCAACGAGTCCTCTGTGAACATTGAATGAGCTGGCTCCTTGATACCTGAAGCAAAAGAGTAGTATCGCATGTGTCACTCGGGAATGAGATCAAGCCAGATTATTTACACTTTCATTCGCATGAGTTCCTGTGAGACAGCAGTTTTGTGTTACATATCTCGGTTCCCTGGGTATTGGACATATTGTTAAATGAGATTTAATCCACTTGTCATGACTAGAATGAAGCTCTGATGCCCAAGTGTTCAGTAGTACACATCGAATCTTTCCTACAATAAACATGTCTTTCTATAAAGTACCGAGCCCAAAAGAAGATGCCAGAGCGGTGTTCGAAGTTCTGAAACGGGGTGGTATTGCGATTATTCCGATGAGCGTTGGCTACGGGATCACCGCGATCAATCCGGACGCATTGGACCGAATATTTCGAATGAAACGGCGGGAACCACACAAGCGACATGCAATGGTCGGAAGCTACAATCTGCATCGAGATATTCATGTTCTTCCCCCCAAAGAAGCCGGTATGGTCAAACTCTTGACCGTGGACTTGGACCTTCCTCTAGGAATCATTGCACCATATCGCCCTGACCATCCGATTATCCAAAAAATTCCGCCAAACGCATTAGCACAGAGCGTTGTTGGGGACACTCTAGCAATGTTAGCCAACGGGGGTGGTTTGCTAGAAGAATTATCTCGACTTGCTGCTCTAGAGGAACTTCCTCTAATGGGATCTTCGGCCAATATCAGCGGGAAGGGAACAAAGACTGTGGTAGAGGACATTGAGCCGGAAATCTTCGAGGTGGCAGATATAGTCCTCGATTATGGGACACAAAAGTTTCACCATCCACGAGCCTCTTCAACCATGATCGATTTTAGCACAATGAAGGTTGTGCGATACGGGGCTTGTTACGATGTGATATGTGATGCTCTCTGGCGATTCTATGGAATACAAATGCCAGATGATCCTAAAAGGTCGACTCTTTCGTCTGGATAGACTTGTGCGCACAGGATACAACATTTCTAGTTTAATGACAGAATTCGATATCACCTATTGTTTTAAACCTAGCCAACTTAGCAAGAAATGGGGACATCAATAATCTATCCAACTCTTAAATAATAAATTATGCGATGGGTTTGCTTTGTGTGTCCCAATCTCCCTCTTTTCGGTTATCGCAGGTAAATGCCAATTTTTAATCGAAGAAAGCTGGATTCCTCTCTCCATATTGGGGTTAATACATGAATATTCCTAATATTGCGTCAGTCAGTAGTTAGCTATGTCTCTAAGGAAAACCTGCCCACGTTCTTGATATCCGTGAACCGTTTGATAAGAGTTACTAGAGCGGGATGGACATACATTGCATAGAAAGCACGATGTAAGTTTTACGCCGAGGTCATTGTAGACAACTTCTGTTTCATTTCTGTTATAATATTTCAATGTTCCACCGGAATGTTCTAGAGAATGTCAGAACTTGATATAACTGATATTGACAGTGTTGTCGGTGACAGAAGTAGATGTGAGGATTCGATCCTGATAGATGTCCATGATGGTAGCACCCGATGGTCCGTAACTTATCCCACCGCGCGAAGCAACTGCATTAGAGAATACTACAGTGCCAAAGTTGGCGATTGGAGCCAATGCGTTGTTTACAGAAAAGTCCTTCACAATCCATTCGGCGTTGAACTCGCAGAGGTCACCGCCAAGACCATTGGGGAATATATGCGTCACAGATACGCCTGTGGATAGATTCTCGATAGTCGCAAAGCCGGAACTCTTCGAAGTTGCATCGACAGTCATTATGATCACATTTCCAGCCGAAATTTGGATGTTGCTAAAGTCATGGGCGTAGTCTGGATACCATTCGTACCACGCGCTATATGAATAGAGGCCTCCTTGGATACAGAAATAGATTCCAGCTTGTAGAATGGCTGTTCTGCAAGTATCGCCGTCGATGCCAATCCATACAGAGGCGCAGTAGTTTGTATAAGGATTAGCACCATTTGGAAGTTGGGGGCAGGAACTGTGATCTCTCCGGATACCGCAGTGTATCTGGTACCAATGAGAATAGCGCCACCCCAGTTTGAGCTGTAAGTCTCGTGGGACGTTTGGTTCAGATCGAGCACTTCTAAGGTACCTGGTTTATGAGGCCGGATCGTGCGGCGCAGAACTTGGGAAGATCGCTGTATCTCACCGTCCGTCTGTAGCCGAGAGGAGAGAGGAGATGCGATGATAGATGTGGCCAGTAGAATAGCAGCAAACATGACGACAGAAAGCTCCATAGTGAAAGTCCGGCTTAGTGTTTAGGAAACTGTTCCGAGTACTAAAAACGAAAAGGGAAATTTGATATAAAAAGGTTGGTATCGACGTTTATAATAACATTTGCTCCGAAGATTTGTTAAGCCCGGAGGGAATAAGCCTAGATTGGATTGGAAGACATGAATGACTTTTAATGGAACATGAGCTCGACGTGAGATCAGGATAAAAATCGGATGATAGTGTCGGAGACCGAGGGCAACTACAGAAATAGGACTAGATAGTCTGCCCCATTGGTAAGTATAGCCTGACACATGCAATTTGTACGGATATCAAGCAGCTTCGATATAGACCGACCTTTGAATCACAATACCCTCCGCAGGAAAATTACGCACATCAATGATATTCAAACTCCACGCAAATTCCCATTTATTTCAACCTAACCATGTTTCTCCATGATATCTGCAATTGGGCTGGACGCCTGACAGCTGGAATTTATGGCCCTACTGTACATGTTATTTAGGTGTGTCCTTCGTGTCCTTCCCAACGTACGTTTGACATTGGAGAAACCCAGCAAAGAAGTTGCCGATTTCAGAATAATCGCCTAGACCAATAATGGCAGAAACATCTATCGATTCGAAAGCGTCAGTTGTATCTAATTATCTCACGATTACGGATTTGCTTACATTGGTCTGGCCGAACAATGATAAGAGCACCCTGTGCCGCATCAATGCCGAGATACTCGTATGCATGGCCGTGCCCATTGTTGTAACTCTCGTCGTCGTAATAAATCTTGTGTAGATCTAAATACTCCGGGTTAGGGATGATGGGACCATAAGATATTAGAGAATATGCACCTCTTGTTTGGTATTTCCCAGAGACTGGATAAAAGCATCCGGGGATTTGCTCCAACTCAATACCATGACGATTTCCATACCCGATCAAAATAGTCTCGATCAGGCTGTCAATGTCTTGATCCTTAGGAGTGAATGTCTGGATGGGCCCATCCGCCGCGGTCAGGTATTCTCCCAGCTATACGATACGTTAGATAAGGCTTAAGTACATTTCGGCAGTGACAAACATACCTGGTTGAGCTTTGTGTGGTTTTCTGGTACAGTCAGGTCACCCACGAAAGCCATGATACGCCACCGGCCATCTGACTTGAGAGATTTCATGAGATGTAGAGGTTTAGAGTCACAGAATCGCACGACCTGCGCGCTGGGCATCCGCATACCAACGGCCACGTTAGAAGCGAGGTTGGTCGATTCCAATGAAGATGTAATGGACGACACCTCATACTTGGCTGTTAAACCTGCGGTATATTTGCCAGACTTGATGAAGCCTTCCTGGAACTCGGCAGGAGATGTTGAAACCCCAGAAGAAAACAAATTGGAAAAGTAACGGTCAAAGTTAATCAGATCAACGGCCACCTTTTGACGTTCTAGAACGTAAGTCTCTAGAAGCGAGGGACTAGCTAGACCAGTCAAAACCTCCCCGAGCTTCCAGCCAATATTGTAGCCATCCTGTAAGCTGACATTCATACCTTGGCCGGCTTTCGGAGAGTGGGTGTGGCAAGCATCACCAGCGAGAAAGACCCGGTGATCCTTGTGAAAGAAATCGGCATGACGCTGGCCGATGGCATATGCCGACCACCAAATTGTTTCCACAAATTCTACTTTGTAAGGGTGGAAGATGCTCTGTGCTTGGGCCTGCAAATTATCCAGAGTCACCTCTTTCGGGTTCGTTCCTGGGGCAAGTTCAATATAGAACCTTGTCAGGTTATCGCTATCGCCTTCACGGGGAATAATTAAGACATTCCCTGATTTCGAGCGAATAGTAGACTTCTTGCGAATGTCCGGGAAATCTGTTCGGGGCACCATGTCCATGACACCCCAGACAGCGTCGCTGCTGTCTCCAATCATTTTATACCCGAGGGCTTTGCGGACAATGCTGTGTGCCCCATCACAAGCCTGATGGTCGGGTCAGAAAACGTCTCGACCCCAAAGAAATGAGCACCTACCAATGTATATTTGGCTGCAAATATTTCTGTCTTTCCATCCTTTTCCGCAGTGACTTTGACCGGATAGGCATCATGATCCTCGGCGAAGGTGCTATCAACTTTGACATCGGTCACATTATAGCCATAGTCGATTTGTTGATCATTATATTTCTGCATCAGGTCTATGAGGAGCCCGTTGATACGTGCCTGATTCAGAATAACGTGAGGTTGGTGTGATAGACCCGGCTGGGTATCCGCCGTCCAGCCTGTCCGCTCGATGGCGCCTGTGCCATTGTCGGCCCAGAAGTTGACCTCTAGAACGTGGTAAGCCTCACGAAGAAGCTCCTCCCCAATTCCGAAGCTTTCAAAAATTTCCACGGTGCGGCATTGTACCCCGTCAGCTTGGCCCATCTTCATGGGACCATCCCGCCGTTCTAGTACCTTGCACCGCACCCCATACTTGGCGAGCCAAGTGGCAGCGCAAAGACCGGCAGAACCGCTGCCGCAAATGAGAACATCGACTTTCTCCATTGTAGAAGTGCGCGCAGATTGAGATCAAATGCACTTAGCGAGTGCATATATCTAGGACCTTTTATGGTGCACGCGGGATGAGATCCCCCGGAATCTCGGGATTCGCCCCGGCAGGCAATTGCGGGACAATCGCGTTGGACGAGAAGCCTCGGCAGTCAATCCCCTGGTGACTGCCGTGTTGATATTGCGAACCCTTGTTTTAATTTACCCCATGTCTTTGCTTCCCATAGTCTGGAGCATGAGGAGAGGTTGATCGGGGTAGCTCTTCAAGGGATATCAAGTTTTCGGAATGCCGGTTCTCTATTCAGATCTCTAGAGCTTGAGATGATCCGTTTTGGTTTCTCATAAACACAAGGCGTATGCATCATTAAGTCTGGTCTAAATCATTATATAATGCTTATCCTTCCGCCCAAATATCAAACCGAACGCCAGCGCCGGTGCAGAACTCGCATCGCATCTTACAAAAAGTACTCGCTGCGCCCTGGCCGCGAGACTGGAACATGCCGCTGGTCATCGCTGACTGCACTAAACAGCTTGAAGGTGGGTTTGAGATCCTCTCCGATTTCACAGACCGAGGCCAGGTTTCCGCATCGGTAGCAGTAATTCGGCGCACTCCACACGGTGACAACATTTTGGTTGTTAAAGTGGTATTTATAGCCCTCGTTCACTAGCTGATGAGCGCGTGCGATCAGCGAGAGATCATTGACATGGCAGAACTCATCGGCCACTCTGTCTCCGAATAACCATCCTAGAATTGTTAGCTGTGTGTTCAAGAAAGACCTGGATGATTCTCACCTGCTCCCCGAGGACTGACAGCCCACGTCTCCACGTCGTCTGGATCAGACCACACGAGATCACAGAAGGCACCCTCGTGAGGGATCTCCTGTGCACGGGCTACCACGCGGACTTGATCCAATGTGCGAATTTCAGGGCTCAGGCCGCCGTGAACACACAACACCTTGCCATCAATAATAGCCCCCAATGTCATGAAATCGAAGACCTGGCAGCATGCCTTCCATACTGAAGCACTGCCGTATTTTTGGAAGCATTCTTCGTAGAAACCGTATACCTGAGTAATTTGGCGCGACTCGTGATTACCACGAACCAATGTGACTCGATCGGGGTATCTAGGATATTGAGTCAGCAGTGAACACGTATCCGCCAGGAGGTGCCATGTGCGACCTACTTTGCTTTGAGACAGAGTAAGAGCGTTAATGTCTCAAGACTGAAGTATCCACGGTCCACGTAGTCGCCTAGAAATACAAAGTTGCGGTTAAGCTGGAGATCTGCAGATGTACCGCTGGCCGATCGGCTCCGTGAACTCGAATCTTCCTCGTCGTTGGAGTTCATGTTGGAGCCGCGAAGCTTCTTGCGAATTTTAGGATCTGAGATGCTTGAGGGAGGTTCGATATCGGCCGAGGTAATCACGGAGGGGGATGTCTTCGGCGGGTCGAGTTCTGTACCATCAGGCATGCCTCCAGAAACTCGAAAGAGTTCCAGGAGATCGTAAAATTGGCCGTGAATGTCACCACAGACTGTGACAGGTGTCGATACTGGTTGGATATTTGATTCTGCGAATGAAGTCAGATTAATAAAGCTGAGTTTAGGTTAAACAGCACTTGCCCTCCATCATGTATTCTTTGACAATCTCACACAGTTGTTTCATATGTGGCTCCGATAGATACTTGCAATCCTTCGCTGCCTCCAGCCACTCGTCAGGGCCCGCATTGCGCTTCAGTTTGGCAGGACCCGGTTGAGGAATCTTGCTCTCAGGCATGATAGAAAGGAATAATTGAAGAAACAGTGAAAGAGAGCGGAGAAGAAGAACGTGTAGAAAAGTGCGCGTCAAGGAGAAGTGTGACGTTTCCCCCGCAAGCTGAATTTCACCCTTGGCCGCCTTCGTCTGCCGAACTGTCCAGCTCTGCAACTTTTTCTCATCATTTCGTCTTCTCTTCTTTACGATTGTGCTCAACAATGCTCTGTGATACAGCTCATGGTTGAGATTTTTCACCTTATTTTGTTTGAAATTGGGACCTCGGTCTACTGAAGATTTATTTAGGTACTTCGAAAGACACCCAGCCTCCGGTCACCCTTCCCTCCCGCATAAGCATCCTCATCCTCTGGACAAAATACTCAGGCTTTACCATACAACGGAAGCCCGGAGATCATCTGACGCACATGCCCGTACATACACATCGGTGGATCCGAAGTTATGATTTGATCGGTCGAACATTACTCTATACAAGCACGCACTTGAAGGGAAGATACTGTCATGTCTCACTGGGGCGAAGGTTCAGTCAACATATTCATCAGTCATTTCCTTGCATACGCCCGAACAAAATCTATCTACACATGACCCATAGAAATGCAATCAACCATCAATTTTTCCGAGGAACTCAGTCACAACTTTCTCGAATGCCACAGGCTGCTCTACCATGGGTAGATGGCCGGCACGGTCGATGAGCTTCAGTTCGGCGCCACCATGTAGATCTGCGGCCATCTTCTGCATTGTCTGAGGTAGGACACCGTCATTGGCTCCAGCGATGAACAGGCCTGGCACAGTGGCAGCAGCCATGCGCTCACGGATATCGTAGGCACAGAGGGCCTGCACGCTATGGGCAAATCCCTTCAAGCTGTTGGTGCGCACAGCCTCCTTGACAGGCGCAAGGACCTCGGGCTGGGTCTGGTATGATTCCGGCACGAACCAGCGACGGGTGGTTACCTCGGCTAACTCTTCGCCGACAATGGGCTCATTGGTGTCTGGATCGGTAGAGCCTTCCTTCTCGCAGATGGCCACGCGGTCACCCCATGCCTTACGGTTGGATTCGGGTGCGGAAGAGTTGGTGTCGCATGCGATGAAAGCTCCAACGCGCTCCGGGTGAAGGAGAGCAGTGTTCAAAACGGTCACACCACCCAGGCTGACACCAATCAAACGAGCGGCCTTGGGAGGCACACGCAAAGCCTCCAGCAACGTAGCCAGATCAGAGGCCAGTAAATCGATATTGACAGGCTGCTCACCACTCTGCGAGCGTCGGCCTCTAGTCAAATAGCGCACGACACGGTAACGCTGGTTCTGTTGCTGAGCAAAGAAGGCGTCAAGGAAACGATCCCATATGTTCCAGTTGACTAGGATGGAGTTGCTCAGAACGACGACAGGCGCGTAGGGATCGGTGCTACCCTCCAGCCTGTAGGGGATCTCAACCCCATCAGAAGTAGTGATAAACGACTCGACAGCTGGGCGGATGGTCGAGGGAAATGTGCGAGTACGGCCATCATTGGAGCTCCAGGGACCAACGACATCTGGGGCAGCTAGCGAAGTGAGCTCACGGGGAGCAGGGCCGAAGGTGTAGTACCACTCATATACGCGACGCTTCTTAGATGTGACCACCTCGCTCATGAGACGCGATCCCCATGGGGTATTCATGGCGGCCTTGTGGGCCTCACCGCCAAGACCATTGACGGGGGCATACTCGTGGAGAGTCAGCGATTCGCGCGGGGCGGCGGAATCGATCGCCGCAGTGACAAAACGGCAACTCCGGCGCCATCCAGGCACACGAGAGAGCATCTCAAAATGTTCCTCGCGGTACCATTTATCCAGGTCAGCTTCTTTGGCGGGGTCGGGGTGAGTGGCAACTCGGACGGCGACGAGGACGCTACCCCGGGTCTCGGCATCCGTATCGGCTTGATCTTCTAGCGGGCGGAAGTTCGGGTTGCTGCGCTCATCCACTAGATCGTACAGTAAACGGCCGACATCAATTTGGGCCATAGTCTTCTTCTCCCGCTCGGTCTTGATCAGATCGGTTCTCAGATCCAAGTAGGTCTTGCGGGTCAACTCGTCCATGTCGGTAATATCGTACAAAGCCACATATTCAGGCTGTTCTCCATCTGTGGCACGGAAACGAAAGCCATTAGTGACAAAGGGCAATCGCAGACGCAGAGGCCCATGTTCAGTGTTATACCAGTCGTGGAACTGCGTGTCCGGCAGCGAGCCCTTGGGCTGCATTGTCACGTAGAGAAGACCGGGAGTAGGCATGATGAAGAGCTAAAGGAAATCGGAAATCCAGAATAGACAATACAGAGAAAGGATTCAAAAGATGCGAAAAAGCGAAAAGGAGGATCCCCAGAACATAAAGAACATCGGCACTCGAATTGCGCCCTCATCCGGGTGAAAGCAGAACCCGAACTTGACTGCCGACGATATTTCCCTTTTGGCCTTTTGTCTTTTTTACACCAATCTATTTTGTGTACTGTACATAATCTTTTGCACTACATGTTGATCTTCATTTATTCTAATTTCATCGTTCAATCATACCAGATGGCATTCATACCAAATCCTTGTTCGGGGATATCCACCCGCGCGACGCGTGCCAACTTCTCATCACGCCAGCGGTACATCTCAACAAATCCAAGCTGGTCATCGCACAGTGCAAGCCACTCGTCACTGAAGTCACAGGGGCTGACGGCGTTGGAATGGCCACCACTGGTCGAGGTCGGGTTGATAAAGAGCTGGCGCTCGATCTCGCCATGCGAGCCGAGCTTGAACGCGGTGATGTAGCCAGTCACATCGAAATGGTTTGACCGAGTAGTCGCGAACAGATACTCTCCACCTTTGGTGCAAAAAGTGACATCTCCACGATACTTGTTACGTGGGGGGAGGCCTAATGAGTTAGTTGTTACCATCAACATCGGTCGCATTTGTTGAAACTCACCGGAAGGCAGTAAGGGATACGTGATGTGAGTGAATACTGGCTTGTGGGTGCGCTCATCGATCACGTAGACTGCCAGCCGATTGCCCGCCTCCATTAGCGCGTACAGGTACTTGCCGCTCGGGTGCATCTCGACCCAGCGGGGGTGGTCGCCGGCATCAGGAGCCTCGAGGCAATCCACCAGTGTCAATTCGCCCGTCTTGGGGTCCTTGATGTGCGTCCAAATCTTGTTAGCCGTGAGATCGGCGGAGTACAAGTACGTCTCCGTGGGGTCGAACACCATGCCGTGGATACCAGTGTTGGGGACATATTCGTAGTTCTGGATATTGCTATCCAGACTTCCGTCGGGCTTCACAGAAAACACGTTACCGTAACCGGCGTAGTTGTAGAAAGGGTTGCCGTAAACATTGTAGGGAGGCTTGTGGGCGGCAAGCACGAAGATAGCACGAGTGTTGGTCTCGCTGCTGGGAGCCAGAGCTAGCGCGAAACAAAAGAAAGAGTTAGCGAGGGTAAACCGGACATATATTCCATTGACTCCTTAGACATACGGTGACCAGCTACCGGGTGCGACACTTGGTGAATGATCTCTGTCGGGCTGTTGACAGCGAAACTGTTCCACTTCTTCATAGCCGCGCCATATATCGCCTTCTTATCGTGAGAAAAAGTCATCCATGAGATGGGCTCGGCTTCTGGAATCTCGGTCTTTTTGACCAACTCTAGCGTAAGGGCATCGTCGTCGAATTGCACGGTATAGATACGTCCGGGGGCAGTCCAGGTACCGACCATCAAATGATGCTTCATATTGGCGATTGAGGAGTGGGAAAATGACCGAGATATTGAGGCAAATGCCCGTGAGAAAACAGAACGGATCATGTATAAGGCGAGAACTCCAATATAATGAAAGTTCAATGTTATCCGCATGCGGGGGGATATCGGCATCGAGGGGCGGCACCCTGCGGGAGTATGTTTTTACTCTAGTGCCGGTGTTGGGATCAAGTTTGCCATTATTTTGTTCTCTAATAATTTGAGGATTCCAGGTGACTATGAATATATTTCTTTGAATACCTAAGCCCTAAGCCCACCACGTTTTTCAAAGCTCCAAGTGCCTTCCGCAATCCGGGGTAGCGTCCAAGTATATCTGTTGTACGACATACTAACTTTGCAAATTGCTCTTGAGATTGTTCATAGTAATTTGGAGCTCGATTGCGGCGAGAATATGAACTCAGCCTGATCTATTACTATTAATAAACCGACTTCTCTTTTCGATACAAGCCTGAAGAGTACGGAGTAGACATTTCTAATCGGGAAGTGATGCCGGAGAAACACTCCCCCACACGGGCGGGTAAGACATTTCCCGCCCCCGCGTTTGAACTGTTGAGGTGCTGTTGAAGAAGTTGAAGAAAACATAATACTTTGAAACCGGACTCTAATGTACGTGTTTCAGCAAAGACACACCATCTTCAAACATAACCTCAAATCACTCGGAATCAATCATACACGCACCATGCGTCTGCCTTACGCCCCTTCCACCCTGCCTGTCGATGCGCACCCTGACACCGCCGACATCTATGCCCGCATCGCGGAGCGCAGAAACCCCCGTCCTTTAATCCCGCTTGACCTATCCCTCCTCCATAGCCCACCTGTCGCCGATGGCTGGAACAGCTTCATCGGAGCTATTCGGTCGCGCACTTTGGTTGACTCTGGTGTCATGGAGTTGGCAGTCTGCCGTGTCGCTGTACTCAATAACGCTGTTTACGAATGGAATGCCCACGCTCCACTGGCTCTCAAAGGTGGTATCAAACCCAGTCAATTGCAGGCTGCTCTTACACTGCCTTGCACCGCTGAGGGAGATATTGCCGAGCTTGAGACTAGCGCACTCACCCCACAACAGCGCGCCGTTCTACGCTATACCGACCAGATGACTCGCACCATTAAAGTTGAAGATGCTGTTTTTGCTGAATTGAAGACGGTCGGGTACGATGACCGCGAGATCGTGGAGCTCACCACTGGCATCGCCGGTTATAACTGTGTGAGTCGGTTTTTGGTTGCACTGGACGTCGGCGAGAACAACGGTCGCGAGATGAAAACCGTGGATGAGCTGGTTGTTACTCTGCAATAGAGAGAGATGAAGTGGAATGTTGCTGTGTGGAACAAAACACGAGGAGACTCCTGACAAACGATCTGTACAACATTGAATTACCGGAGCCATCCAGATCTACAAGTATGTATGAAAATTTGATCTCATTAACAATGTAAGACCCTCGTCAAGCTACCGCTGATACCTATATCTTGTTGCTCCACTGCTTCACCTATAGGCACTGCGAGTAGTAATCACTCTGCTTCTGGCAGCTGTACGGGCTGGCACAGGTGGTTAGACCGGTCCAGTTAATTCCACCGCATTGGGCATAGTGAGCTGCACCGGTGGTACTTGATCCAGTAGTGGTGGTGTTTCTGGTTGCCTTGGTGGTGGTGGTGGTGGTGCTGCTGGTGGTGACTGTGTGACTTGGTATCAACGATCTTGCTCGGGCCATAGAAAGACTGGTTGCCCATGCGATATGGGTTGAAATCACATCCATCAGGGTCACAAGTACCACTATAGCGGTCACTGCTGTATGTACCACCACAAGCATCTCCACTGCACCTAGTCTGGGTTGGGTCATCGCAGGGATGAGGTGTGACTGCAGTGGAGATCGAGTTGGCCTCCCAAATATCCATCTCAGCACAGCAAGAACCATAGTTGCCAGTACCAGCGTTGACGTCGTTGGAAGAAGGCTCCCACCCTTCCACGTTGGCCTGGCCGTTGATGAACTTAAGGTCGCGCGGGCATTGGGAATCACAGTAACCGGTGCCGTACTTAGCACCGGCTTTGTTGGCAGGATATCGTGCCATGCCACCATCTGCGTCCATGGATACGAAGTAGAGAGCACCGTTCAAGCCGCAGGGAAGGTTCGAGACATCGACATCGAAGGTGAACTCTTGATTGAGCAGTTGGAACATTTCATACTTGCTATCATCCGCCATCAGGTAGAGACGTGAGCCAATGTTCTTCTGAGATGCCTGGGTGACGAAGTTCAGCCGCAAAGAGCTGCCACTGGTGGTAACACCATAAGTGCCCGAGTAGTCGGCACCTTCTAGGGCGCAGTTAGTGGCACAAGTAATATCGTCCGGGCAGATAGTTGTATCCCACTCGTTGCCAGTATAGCAATTGGTGAAGCCGGTAGTGTTGTGAACCCAGCGCCAGTTGGCGTCGACGACAACCTTGCCGGTTTGGGAAGTGCAGCTGCCTCCAGTGGTGCATTTTTGCCAAGTCAAGGATGGGTGAACTTCAGCGGTGTTTGTGCCCACCGGTTGTGCCTGTGCAGTTCCGAGCAAGGCGGCCAACAGCAGGGCATCTTTGTAGAAATTGGAGAGAGTGGAAGCCATGATGAGGTCTTGATTGCTTGATTGCCGGGTGAATTGATGAGGAAATTAAGAATCAGATAGATACATAGTCCTTTTATATTCTAATAGGAACTAGAGAGGGTCACAATTCATCGTGCTTCCCAATGGAGAAGTACGACAAACACTCCGGGGACACGGAGGGAGTCCCCTAGACCCCGCGACTGGCTTCGGATGTAGTTGGTGTCATTTTGTGGAGGCGGCTTCTCGGTGCCACCGAGATGGCTGTGAACATTCTCATCGCTTGGTAAGGGGATAATTGTATTCGGCTCGCAAATAGCCCCCAACAACACACATCGTATGGAAACGCATTGGCGGCTAAATGGCTAGCCTCCAAATTAGACAGACAACGCCATGCTGTGTAGGACGACCGACTTGGAGATGTTAGCACACCCGCATTAAACAAAAATCTCGAATCCGTGACAAAGTAGTAAGTACCGTAGCCCAGATCTAGGGTCTATACGTGGTAGCCTTTTCCCCAGTTCTCGGTAATTTGTGTTGGCTGCGCACGCTGGCTCGTGGAAGTGCAATGGGATGCATTAGCGTCGTGAAGATAACTTGGTTTAATCACGGGGGTCAAGGAACCAATGCCGAGCACAGGCCTGTCAGCAATGCAGTTCTAGTCTCATGACACCTGGGTAGGTGAGATCGATGCATAATGTTGGTGCCGAGTGGCTTTGCGTCGCGCTAGAGAAAAGGTGGCTAGGAAGATGGAATCCGACGCATGGGGGAGTGAAATGATCGAGCTGAGATGTTTTCGTTGTCGATCCTGAGCCCAAATGATACTGTAGATCAAGGACAGGAGATCACATAGATCAAAGTGATGATTGAAGATCAAAAGGGCACAAAGTAAACAAAAGAAGAAGCCGAAGGCGGGCAATGGCAGCAGATGAGTCATCGCCGAAACCGGCAACCTTGGGAGTGGGATTCACAAAAAAAAAGAAAAGAAAAGAAAAGAAACCAGGACAATTCCTCTCCATCCTCTTAACTGTTCAACGGAGCACCAGCGGATTCAACACCGTTCTCTCATTTATTATGGCTTTTAGCTTCATTTTGACCCTGTCCGGCCCTGACCGTCCTGGTATTGTCCACGCGGTCACTGCATTCCTCGTCCAGAACAACCTCAACATTATCGATTCGTCGCAATTCGGTGATCCTGCCTCTGAGCGTTTCTTTATGCGCACACAATTTGCGCTTGCAAGTGGAGGAGATGAAGTCCCCGAACTCGAGAAATTGCGCACTGCGTTCGAGCCCACTGCGCAGTCGTTCTCCCTCAACTTCGAGATCAACCCCACTGCGAAAAAGCCCCGCGTGCTGATCATGGTCTCAAAGATCGGCCACTGCCTCAACGACCTGCTCTTCCGCCAATCCACCGGCCAGCTGAGCATTGAGGTGCCTTTAATTGTTTCCAACCACCCGGACTTTGCTACCCTCGCGGCCACCTATAATATCCCATTCCACCACCTTCCCGTCACCGCGGAGACCAAGTCGCAGCAGGAGGCCCAGATTCTGGAATTGGTGAGCCAACACAACGTTGATTTGATTGTGTTGGCTCGGTATATGCAGGTGTTGTCCCCAACCCTATGTTCCGCCATGTCCGGTCGCATTATCAACATCCACCACAGCTTCCTCCCCTCTTTCAAGGGTGCTAAGCCCTACCACCAGGCCTACGACCGCGGTGTGAAGATCATTGGTGCCACTGCTCATTTCGTCACCAGTGATCTGGATGAAGGCCCGATCATCGAACAGAATGTCGTTCGGGTCAACCACGGCATGAGCCCCAAGGAGCTGACCCATGCCGGCAGCAACGTGGAGAGCAACGTACTCGCCACTGCTGTCAAGTACGTGACAGAGCGTCGCGTGATCTTGAATGGCCACAAGACTGTTGTCTTCAACTGAGGCATTTGATTCTCACCCAATTCTGTGATTCATATTGCCCATATCACACTATTAAACTATTCCCTTCAGCGACCCTTTTGTGATACCTCTAGGTTAATATTTTAGGCCATGGGACTACCGAGAGAAAAATATCAAAATCAAAATAGATTCAGGATTCGAATGTATATAACATATATATACATCTATGGTTGTCATCACGAAATACAATAACTCATACGACATAGATTGAAATCTCAGAGGGAAGTGTAGAAATGGCAATATCACAAGATTACATCTTCTTATTCTATGATTTTGTAGTTGGTATTCTCCTCTTTTCACTTTTTTCCAAAAAAAAAAAAAAGCTCAGGGGTTGCCTGGCGGGGAAGGTAAGACAACATCAGCACTACTCAAAAAAAGATTCCATTTCCTATTCATATCTCTAATCAAGATGGCTTATGCCGTTGCTTCTCATCTCGAATACTTCACCATCCCTCTCACGGACTTCGTGACCGCCCGGCCTGAATTTGAAGGGTTTGGATTGGGCGTGTACATTTTCTCTCATGCCGATCCCACCCCGCGCATCCTTCTTCTCCAGCGCGCACTGACGGACTCCATGCTTGGCTGCTGGGAGGGCCCTGGAGGCGCATGCGAACTGAACACCGATAAAACGTTACTCGACTCCCCTCTGCGCGAAACGCTGGAAGAAAGTGGGTTGCATATACTACGAAGGCGGTAAAATAATATATGTATTACTAAGCATTCCCCAGTTTGGCCCATTTCGGCTGCCGTACTGGTACACATGCTTGGTGAGCTTGGCCGCCATTCTAGACACACGTTCATCTTATCATACCAAGTCCGTGAACCTCGTAGCTGGATTAATCAAAAGCCCGTCTAAATCACGCATGCCATATGCTCCACTTTCATCATCATCAGAAATCGGTACTGGCTTCGGCTCATTCGGAAGACGACTTGTGAAGCCAAGCCACAACAGTACTCCAGCAATCCTTATAGCTTTGATGGTTTTGATCGTTTCATTGTCCACTCCGGTTTCTTGACTGAACGTGCTCCAGAATATCTCATCCAAAAGGCAATAATCATCATACCTAGACCAGCTATATTTCAAGTGGATCTTATATATCAAACGATCATAAGCGTAGAGATTTATACCAAATGGAGCAATCTCAGCTTCGGCCTAATCAATTATGCCGAGTAGATTGCAAGAATTTTCGTCTGCCAGTATATTGAAGGAACCAAAATCATTGTATAGTAGTACTAAAGGAAGTAAAAAGATAGCCGGTAATGAGTTAAGAGACTTCTTGATTAATAGATAGAATCGAATAGGGAGAGAAGTAAGTAATAAATTCAGGTCTCGTTTATACTGATGGTATAGGCTCTCGCGGTACGTTTGATTAATATCCTAAGGACCTTTCTAAGATAGAGCAAAGAATCTATATAGTAAGACATATGATCAGTAATTCTATATATATCACGTAGAAATGAATCATATACTTTGCGTTGTCGGCCACAAGATTTTGGCGCTAACGAGAGAACTCGAGCGAGTGTTCAGGTATATCACCGTTATAGGCTAGGATAAAATCCAGGTAAGAGATACCTGGCATTCGGTTCATAATGTATATATAAAGCGGTTCTTTACTCTTATGATTTTCCCTAATCTATCCCTTGAAGGAGATCTGGGGTATCAAGGTACCGTAAATGGCTTTGACGAGATTTATAATGTCCTACTAGGGACTTCAGACGATACTGTACGACAAATTCGGCGTTAGGGCCAGCATAGACGGTATAGCTATACACGCCTTGCACGTCGACTGGAGTGACATTTCCACCAAGATACTCACTCGTATAGTTATCACAGGCTGAGCGAGTCGTCGTAGTCTTCTCAAAGAATGCGACAATTTCTTGTTCAACCTCGTAATTCATATCCCTGGTAGCCGTGGTTTTGCGTTCGAAATGTTTGAAAATAGAGTAGATTCAGTAGAACAGCTGTTAGGAGAAGGAAACCAACTTAACAAAGCATAAGAATGACGAAAGGAAGAGCGGTGTGCTGACAAACAGGGGCTGGGGGCTGGTTTGCCAATCTAGGTCTTAATGCATGAGACAGCTATGGAGTATATACAGCCACTTTTAGAAGTAGGAATTTCTGCCAGGAAAGATGAGCTGTGCTACGAGCCAATCGGCTTCCATAGAGCCATCCGGCTGAAGTAACCCGCACGAGAATCGAACATCTGACAAGGACATGGCCGTTTACTCCAGCTCTATCAGACGTGTGCAATATTTTCTACCCGCGATGTTCAAGCTGGTACATCTCTTCTGCCTCTTGTAGCGTAGCTTCCTCCCCTGATCTCCGGGGAGAAGACCAGGGTTGTCGACTGTATGAGAGTAGACGTAGAGTCTCACTCACGAGATAATAAGCGGGACCTAAAACACGGGCAATAATTGCAGGCAGCAAAAAGATGAGGCGATCAACTGGGTGAAGAGTATGATGCAAAGACACTGGCTGGAGAAAGGCATGATTTTGATGAACGATAAAATGCAAAGATAATTTGAGTGTTGCAGAAATATTTCAACAACGCATTCCACGCCATCAATATACTGATTGATTCGTTCAGTTTTCTTGAACAAGGAGATAAGTAACTAGGGTGTTCATTAATTTCCCGCATTTTATTGATGTAGTTTACTCAATGCGTTCAACCTTCCACTCTGGTCGTACTCTGTGAGTAGATCAGATCGCTCATGTGACTATCACATGATGCTTAATCAGCTTATGTATATGGACTTCTACATCTTCCCCCCACGTGTCTTGGTTGTTCTGACAACCACCACTTGTATAGGTCTAAGTTAGCAGGTAGCAGAGGGGTGAACGGTGAGTATTATGACGAAAGGAACATAGCTCGCTCGTGACGGGCATGATTTATATACAAACGAAGCAACAAACCGATCCGAGAGGACCAGAGAAGACCAAGGAAGGCGAGTCGTCCACTCCTGATAATTATCCGACAGGTGAATCCTCGGATGGGTTCATGGTTTTGCCCTAGCAGAACTGGAGCTGGACTTTGATGACCTAGGCGGGACTTCACCAGGCATCGGCTTGCGAGCCCACACTCTTCTCCTATACTGGTGGTCAGTTTGGCCTGTGAGGGACGTGAGCGATGAGAGATCAGAACTTACGCTTTGTGATACGCATGGTAGTGTGGGTCCTTGAGTTCACTGCGTATCTTGGCACAGTATACATGAACTTGCTCCTTAGTCCACGGCTCGGGGTCACCAAATTTCGTTAGCAGCCACATACACCATCCTTCCATACCAGACATCCAGTGTTGGCAATTGACCACACCTGCCTCCTTGAACTTTTGGTCTCTGGGCCATGGCCCAATTGGCCATTTGTAGATTTTTTCATGCACATCCACAAATCCTGCGTTCTTGATGCTATCCGACATGGTAAGGACGATATCGCAAGAGCGACCAGCGCGATCACCGCACTTTTGTATAATTGGACCCCACGAGGACAAGGCACTGTCGGCTGGGAGACTCCCATCGTCACTTGTGATAAAAGGGCCGGCCTCGATCTGCTCGATCCACCCACCAGGGGCCATTTTGCTGTTATGCAGTCAGATTGGGCCGGACACTTTGTTGTATTGATAACCTACTCAAAGCAGTGCTGGTAAACAATGTCCCACTCAGCAGAGTCAAATGATCCGATCATATTGCGCATATGGATCAGATCAAATTGTTCGCGCCATGTCCACTCTTGCAGCACATCATCGACCTCGATGACGCAATTGGGTGGCATCCAGGTAACCGGAGGTGGGAAAAGGTCAACCCCTCGGACAGTGGCATTCGGGAACATATCAGCGACATCGCTAGAAATGATAAGCCCTAAACATTTTCATCGAGGTCGGAACGGTCTACAGACGTACATGGCCCAAGTGCCCTTTCCGGTTCCAATATCGAGAACCTGTAGCGGGCGTTCTCGGTCGGTCCCGATGGGTGACCGAAACAGTGGATTGGCTCGATCTGAGTCCATGATGAGATCCACGAGGTGTCTGCCGCGATAGTCAGAGGCGGATTCTGGACTGGTATTTCAATACGTACCCTGCCTCGTAGGTCTCGAACTGTTGCTCATCGGATGGAATACTACATTTGACATGAGTTTATTCTTATTGTGAGGAATTCCAACTACCTACCAGTATTCTTTGTTGGAGAGCGATTGATATCTATAGGAGTGTGAGGTTATGTGAGATCATCAAGTGATCCAATCTGTGAAGCTCTTACCGTCTCCCATTATCCATCAAACCACGATAGATTGACGACCCAATCGAGGTAGTTTCCCTAATGACGCGTAAGGAAAATCTGAAGTATAAGATGGATAATCACATGCAAACTCACGACTGCCAGTCATCGGGGCTATAAGAACTCGCAGGGGCGTACAAGTCTGGATCCACAGCGATGGCCTCCATATTACTTCTCTCTCTCTCTAATGTTCTGTTTTGATAACCAAAAGGCGGGCAATATACAACTGTTATACAACAGTATACAACAGTTGTATGTGGACGTAGAATAAAGAGAGAAGAGAATAATAAAGTGTTGGAACCCTGGAGAGGTCCACGGGTTCAGGATCATATTAATAACCCGTGGAGCCCACAAGGAGATCGCTGATTGGCTGCGGATACGGCGATTTATCTCTCGTGGCTTGCCTAACTTCGTCAACCATGGGACTTGAAACCTTGGCGTTATGGTTCCCCACACGGAAGAACCATCAGCTCTCCGCGGGATCTGCTATTGGCTGGTTATATGATTCATGTACTTCCGTCCACGGGTACTAGTGTGTGCTCATGTATCATTGGTCAACGGCACGATGCATGATGTAAATATGTATGTTGTACAAGTATATCTTTGTGCTATGTACGGAGAGTACTTCGTATAGATTGGGAGGATTGGGGATACTTTCGGACTCGTATAATGATAGGTCAAGTCCAAATTAAATACCTCACCTTGCCCGTTACCCTATTTATGAATATGTCACAGACTTGACTACTTAACTGATTAAATAGGCACCTTCTGTTGAGGACCCCGCGGTCTATATTGGTTAGATCACGAGACGAGTTGTGCTATGCTCCTGTAGAGGATTACGCGGCAAATCTTGGACCCCGCCATAAAGGTAGCATTGGAAATTCATGCATGCATGCGCCCGTATGTTCTACTCGGTGGCATCTACAAGTCAAGTCCCTTCGGTGTTGCAGTACCCGCTTTCGAGCGGTGTAAGACCTCGTATCCTGTGCATCACTAGTTATATTGTTCTCTGTACAACCTCTGTATAACCTTGCTAGATAAATATTAAGACCGGTTAGCCCCTTCAAGACCACCAGACCAAATCTTGGAAAGTATCTATCATGAACGATGCCTGAAAGCAACCAATCAAGTCTCAATCAATTGGTTCATATTTTAGAACAGACTCGCGGAATACATATACATGTAAATGGTCAGTATGCTTGAACCCCTCTGAGCCGCCTGTTCTGAGTAGGACATTCGGGCTTTTAGAGACATCCCATTCCACACAGAATGCGTTGCAAAACCTAGAGTATATCTCAACGATTCTCCGCACCGATCATACGAAGCAACGGGAGGTCGATGTCCTGACCGATGTCCTTGGCATTTGCTATCAGCCAGCCATGGTTGGGGGCCTAGGAATAAACCAGCATGATTCTCTGACAATACAACAACAATCGGAAATATTCTTTCTTGTGGATGCGTGGCTGGAATCCCTGAATTCAGCCGACCGAGAAAAATCAATGCCTTGCCTTCTAACACACAGGCCCGAAGGTCGCCGAGGGATGACTGTGAGTGAGAAAATATTTGCGATGCATGATTTAAATCACATCGGATGGGTGGCTCCAGGAGACATAATTCGTGTCCATGTTGATTGGATACTTGCCTCTGAGGTGTCTTGGGCAGTAGGTTCGCTCCTAGAGGCGCTGTGAGCTGCGGGCTGATTGTGAATCTCAAGGGAATGGAAACGACCTATAATCTGCTAGGAAAACCCGGGATATTCCGAAACGATCGCTTCTGGCTTTCTGGGGACCATATTGTTGATCCCCGGATTAACGGATTACCTCAAGTGCAGGCGCTGATCAGTGTAAGCGAGAGAGCGAAGAAAACCTTCAAATTGACGGAATACCAAGGCATGAATGTCAGTTCTCTTTTCGTCGGGTCTTTTCCAATCGCTGAATTACGTCTATGAAGTACACTATTCTCCACACTGAATTCTACCGAGAGCGCGCGCAACCTGGAATGCTGGTCGTTGGCTCAGACTCACACACATGTTCCTCCGGGGCAGTAGGCTGTCTCGCGGTTGGACTCGGCGCTGCGGATGTCACCTTTCCATTAGTAACTGGGGAAACGTGGTTCAAAGTCCCTGAAACCATCAATATACGCCTGGTTGGAGCACCGAAGCCAGGGATCGGGGGCAAAGATATCATTTTATACATCCTCCAAGTGCTTAAACGGAATACTATAGCATCCGACAGAATCGTGGAGTTCACAGGTCCAGCACTCAGGCATTTGTCCCTTGACACCCGCTTCGCAGTTTCAAACATGACCACAGTTATGTCATAAACCATAAATCAGTTGGGCCAAATTCACTAACATGAATGACAGGAACTTGGCGGGATCACTGGTTTATTTGTGCCCGATGAAATTACCCACGATTTCATTAGTAGACGGAAACTTACGCGTCATAAATGCCACACGGCATATTTCAGGCCCGATGCCGATGCGGAGTACGCCGCAGTTCATGAGATTGACCTTTCGAACGTGGGGTCTTTTATCGCACGTTATCCAAAGCCGGATGACGTGGTTCCAGTTACGGAAGAAGAGGGAATGGAGCTGAATGGATGTTTTATCGGTGCCTGCACTACCACGGAGGAAGATCTCATCCTCGGTGCTCTGGTAATCGAACAAGCAATGAAAAGGGGATTAAAGCCTACCACAAAGGGGAAGAGGAAGGTCGTTCCCGGTTCAATGCCAATATTGTATCGCTTACGTGAACTGGGGTTATGTGATATATACGCAGACGCAGGATTTGAGATTGGCATCCCTGGATGCAGCTATTGTGTCGGGATGTCAGCCGACCAGGCCGCGCCAGGAGAGGTATGGATTTCCTCGCAGAATCGCAACTTCGAAAACCGGATGGGTAAAGGTAATGAACACTCCTCAATAACATGGCATAGTCGATTGAGATCATCCGAGTTAGGTTCAATTGGTCATCTCGCCTCTGCAGCCACTGTCGCAGCATCCTCTTTTGAAATGAAGCTAGTTGACCCTAGTGATCTGATTGCGTCGATCGATTTAAGTCAATGGGACCGGCTCAGAACAAAACGTATACACTTGAATACAACTAACTCGAAGAGCGACTTGACATATGTTGAGCCATGTGGTTTTCGTGGTTATCCTAGTGCCACGACCCAGACACAGAAGCACATAGAGAACACGCGGCTAGATAAAGACGGAGAAAGACAAGTCAAAAGTCTTCAAGGCAAAGTGCAGAGACTGGGAGACTTCATCGACACGGATGCAGTGAGTGTTTATTCTTTAATTGGATTCGTCAAATGCCAGAGCTGATGGTCGTTTTAAAGTTGGCTCCTGCTGAGTTTCTGATTGGCATGAAAAATAACATGGACGCTGGAATGTGCTGCCTGGTGCATAGATATCCAACATTCCGCGAACGGGCCCAGCAGGGTTTCAATATTGTTGTTGGTGGTAAGAGCTTTGGTTGCGGATCATCCCGCGAACAAGCAGTGATGGCACTATTAGGCAAGTCAGGTTCAATGCCATTGAAACGAATGTTTGTTTTTTGACCACGGGTTTCTTCTAGGGTGCGGTGTTCAATGTGTCATAGCCAAGTCGTTTTCGTTCATCTTTCAACGCAATATGCCAAGCCTCGGGCTCCTGGGTATCACAATGGAAGATGAATCCTTCTTTCAGCTTGCGAATGATGGAGTGTCAATCTCCATCGATTTGAGTTCACGAATCATCAAAGTCGCTGACAAGACGTTCGGATTCAAGCTGAGTCAAATGGAAAGCGAGATCTTCCGATTTGGTGGGATTGCTTCGGCTTTTGGACTATTCGGAAACAAGTTGCTTGAGGCAATAACCCCAGCCAAATTTCACCCAGGACCTGAAAAGGAGGCATTGGAACAGCCGGATAACCGATTACAATGGTAAACATTATATCCGAGTTCGAAAATCTGAAGGCAAATAACATGGATGTTGTAACCAACTTGCCCTCGATGCTTGGATTTCTACCGCTGCCTCTGCACTCCTTTTCTCCTCATCATGTTAATTCTACAAATCAAAGGTTAGAAGTGCAGCAAGAGGTTTGGGAAAATGGCATACACTTCTGACCAAATGGTGCTCGGGTTTATGTTCGGTATTAAAGCAGACAGAATACGTGGAAGTATTATTGCGCCATTTCATCTGCCTCCGATGCCCGTGATATCTTATCTTTCATCTTAAACACCTCATTTGCGCAGGTTACCTCTTCCGATCCCAGAAGAGCAGCGGAGTGGAAGACCGAGGCACCAGTGACGCTGTGGAGCAAGCCTATATTCGATGCCCTCACACCACCGCCAACAATGATTTCTGGAAATCTATTGCTTCGAAGTTTTCTTTTCCCCTGTAGTTGCGTTTGATAACGGACTAGAGCTTGCAGCTTATCGACACAGTCGGTTGCTTTTGTCCCCGAAGCACCGCCGTTGGTTAAAATCGATGCGAACCCACACTCCATGATGTCGGCCAATGCGCTCTCCCAGTGGGATTCGGGAATGAGATCAAAGGCGCGATGAAAGGTACAGGGCCGCCCGTCCGCTAGTTCGACAAGCTGCCTGTTACGGGATACATCGACCCACGAGATTTTCGGATCAAAGGGCTTTTGTGGGGATCGATTCAGAATACCGAAGACGAAACCGTCAGCCCCGTAGGACTTCAGAGAATTGAGCGTTCGTTTCATCACCTCAAAGTCAAATTCTTCGTAACAGAAGCCTTCCGCGTGTGGTCTTACCATCGTGTAGATCGGTATCGCGAGCTGTGATTTCAAAATTTCGAGGGTGTCTGTGTCGGGCGATAGCCCACCGAGATGGTAGTCCTTGCATAACCTTGGGCGCAATTAGTGATAGAACGGAGGGATATTTAGCAACAAGGAAAACAAATTCAGGATGCATGTTGCCGGGAGCTCGAACATGAATAAGATACTCACTCGATGCGGTCCGCTCCTGCTCTCGCAGCAACTGCGGCCGATTCTTGATTGAAGCACGCAATCTCTAGGATTGGTCTTTGTGTAATATTAGCTTGACTCATGATTTTGATTGGTTGGTATGGAGAGGACGAAAACAAGTGGGAAGACGCGCTTTTGTGCGACCCCGCGCGTCACCTGATTGGAGATGTTACAACCGTGCCCACTACCTTTGTACTATCTACTCAGTGGCTAGGTCTTTTTTATTATGAATTTTGATCCCTTGTCTCTTTGGATACGAATATCAGACAGGCGCAGCAATGTCGCTCTTTCCTCACCTTATGGTCTTGTCACCAGAGCGGGGAAAAGCAGTCTGACGCGATTGTCTTGGATCCTGTAACATTACTTCATCTTCCCATCCTTACGTTTCTTACACTTCGTACAATTGGCACAATTGTTTCACCCTCCGCGGACCATGTCTCAACGACCAGTTATCGCAATCGCAGGCCTTGCTTGTGAGACCTCTAGCTTTTCCCCCGCTCGAACACTCGGTGGGGCGTTTCACCCGCGCCGTGGCCCGGAGGTGACCGAGGAATACGCATTTCTGCATCATGGCACTCATCTAGCAGATGCCGCAGATTGGAAGGGGGCACTCATAGGCCATGCCCTTCCAGGTGGAGTCGTGGTTCGAGCTGATTTCGAACAACTTTCCAGGGAAATGTTGGAGCGGTTGGCTGGAGTTGTCGCTTCAAACCCCATCGACGGATTATGGTACGATATCCATGGCGCAATGTGTGTTGAGGATATGGAAGATGTGGAAGGAGAGCTTCTTCGGCGGATTCGAACTGTTATTGGTCCAGATGTTTTGATCTCGGCATCTATGGATTTGCATGGAAATGTGTCCCGAGAACTGGCCCACCAGACTGATCTGATCACTTGTTATCGTATGGCACCTCATGAGGATGAATTGGAGACCAAAGAGCGGGCTTGTCGCAATCTGGTCCATGTTTTGACTGCGCGAACCGACACTGGGAGAAGGAATAGACCCCTGAAAGCATGGGTCCCAATTCCTATCTTGCTGCCAGGAGAGCAGACTTCGACTCGCAACGAACCAGCTAAAAGCCTGTATTCGCTCGTTTCCGAGATCGAAGCGATGGATGATGTCCTCGATGCAGCCATATGGGTTGGCTATGCGTGGGCAGATGAGCCACGAAATCATGCTGTAGTAATGGTCACTGGATGGAATAAGGTTGCTATCGCTAGGGGAGCGAAGAGACTTGCGTCTTTGTTCTGGCAAGTCCATAAAGACTTCCATTTCGTTGCGCCGACCGGGTCTTTCTCCGAGTGCATTGACAACGCGCTCGCATCCTCGAAGAGGCCTTTCTTCATCTCTGATTCAGGAGATAATCCTACCGCTGGTGGATCAGGCGACGTGACCTTCGGCTTGGATCAACTGCTGAAGCGATCAGAGTTTTCCACAGAATCCAGCTCATCTGTGATCTATGCTAGTATTCCAGGACCCCAAGCAATTGACGTCATAATCAAGGCTGGCGTGGGTGCCACGGTGACGGTAACCGCCGGGGCACAAGTGGACAATCTCCACTCTGGGCCTGTCACCATGACTGGACGTGTTCATTCCATCAGGTATGGAGATCGTGATGCCGAAGTTGAAGCAGTGCTACAGATTGGAAGTGTGTTTACTATCCTGACTAAATTCCGCAAGCCATATCACCATGAGAGTGACTTCAACGGTCTCGACCTTAATCCCCGAACATCAGATATCGTCATAGTCAAGATTGGCTATCTCGAACCAGAGCTTTTTGATATGGCGGCAGACTGGATGCTTGGTTTGACTCCTGGTGGTGTTGATCAAGATCTACAGCGTCTTGGGCATCGTCGCATCCCCCGTCCAATGTGGCCCTTTGACAAAACGTTCCATAGGGCCCCAGATCTCACACCTCAGCTGATTCCATTTTCGAACGAGGATTTGGAAACGCATAAGGAATGAGCTTTCGAATATCATGATACCTCGTTGTGCATGTTCTACGACTAGTGGATCTAGAGATTTCTTTCCCTAATGCATATCTCTGCTTCCCTCAGTTCCTTGGCATGAAGAACCACTAAGGTGTTAGCATAGTCTGCCTAACTCGCCCACCAGCCTTTTTCATACCCAGTCGAATTAAGGATGCGCCTAGAGACTATTGGCATATGGCAATGGGTAAGAACTAGAAAGGACGGTGCAGGATCTCTAATATTGAAATTACGGAATGAAAGGAAGAAACAATACGCATATTTTCCTGGATGATCGATGGACAGGAGAGAAACAGAGAAACAGAGCTATGTAGGTGGTGTCACATGTGTTTGCCTGTCAGACCATGAATCCACACAAGTTGGAGCTATAGAACTGTGATCTCGGACAATATCTCCATATTTATCAACAGCGGCGGGTTGTAGTGAGTCAGTCTACTAGTGACTTTACCGGAGAGTATTTGCATTTGGACTCAGAATGTAAGCCAAAGGGAGTGGGATCATGATGGTTAATTGAGATTCCTTCTTGAGCCTAGTGGAGATTTTCTGCAAAAGACTCAAAGTTGACGCTTCGCATTAATATACGACATAGTCTGGCTGATCCGGGGCATGTACATGATTGAATGTAAGCCTCATATCAACAGTATAATTTAGAATTGCCATCTTAGGAGGAATGTGACAATACTACTTTCGTGTCGCTCTAGGAGGAATATGATATATCAAGCAAGGTATGCTCGCATTCCTTTCGCTTTGCTTATATAGGTCGTTACATCTAAGTATTGTTGTTGTCTCGGCGAGATTACACAAGCCACTCATTTAAACCCCCCGAAGAATGAAAGTGTTGGAGAGTTCGTTTGCATTCTAGGATCCCCCCAGTATGGGGATGTATGGCTACCCTCTCACTGTCGTTGAAATTAGAATGTTCGTTATTTCTCTCGTGATTAAATTGCATGGTTGATGAGACAAAATCGCCCTGTTGTAGAATATAAATATCAGTTCGATTCATGTACAACAAGTTCTTCATTCCTCGCAGGTATTTTCTCATCTAACTTTCCTCGTCATGAATATCATAAAGGTAGCAGCAATTTTGATCTCGATCTCGGCGGGAGCCACTGCTCAAGACTACAATGCTCCACCTCCGAATCTCGCGGATCTACCCCCGCTGTCTTTGTTTGAGACTTGGAGGCCGCATACCCATGTGCTGCTACCCAACGGCCAGATCGGCGACCCATGCGCGCACTATAATGACCCTGAAACAGGGCTCTTCCACGTCGGGTTTCTCCACAATGGTACCGGGATCGCCGGTGTTCTGACGGATGATTTAGTCCACTTCTACGATGTCAACCTTAATGGTGGCTATTCAATCGTAGCTGGCGGTCCCAATGACCCCCTTGCCGTTTTCGATGGTTCGGTCATCCCATCTGGAGTTGACGGCGAACCGACACTTTTATACACCTCGGTCTCGGCATTGCCAATCCATTGGACGCTTCCTTATATCCGAGGAAGTGAATCGCAGTCTCTGGCGGTCACCTACGACGGTGGACAAAACTTCTCCAAGCTAGAAATTCCACCTGTTATCCCTGAACCCCCAGAGGGCCTGGATGTAACGGGTTTCCGCGACCCTTTTGTTTTTCAAAATGGGCCACTCGACGAAATATTTGGCAACGCCGATGGTACTTGGTACACAATCGTTTCAGGCGGGGTCAAGGAGATTGGACCTGGCCTGTTCCTCTACCAGAACACTAGCCCCGGCTTTGAACAGTGGGAGTATCTTGGAGAATGGTACCATGAACCGGCCAACTCAACATGGGGCAATGGCGACTGGTCAAAAGTATTCGGCTACAATTTTGAGACTAGCAACGTCTTCGGCCTCGACAGAGAAGGATACAGCCACAACGGCAGTCCTTTCATGACCATTGCAGTAGAGAGTTCATACGTGCCCATTCAGCCCTCGGTCTCCTCGCTACATGCACAGCTTTGGGCAGCAGGGTCAATTTCAATTCCCGAGGGTGAAAACGTGACATTCGTCCCTGATATGGTGGGTGTCCTTGACTGGGGCTTGGCGGCCTATGCAGCAGCAGGCAAAGTCCTACCCGCGTCCTCCCAAGCGTCTACCGCCAGCGGTGCCCCAGATCGTTTTATAAGCTATGTACGGTTGACTGGAGATGTTTTCGGAGGAGTTGTGGGCTTCCCATCAGAGCAACAAGGATGGCAAAACACATTGTTGACGTCGCGCGAGTTGTACATCAAAGACATCCCGAACGTGGTCAACAACCGTCTCGTGAATGAGATTGGCTCGTGGCGTTTGGCCGCTCACTCACCCTCCACGGGCAACTGTGTCAAACTGGAAACACTCGGAATCGACATCGCGCGGGAGCCATACAACGCTATGAAGGCTGCTCCTAGCTTCACTGAGCCAGACCAAACTCTTACAAGTTCGGGTATAATTCCGTTCGGTCGCTCCCCGGAAACAAAGTTCTTTATTCTTGAGGCTGAGATCGACTTCCTTGCACGTTCGTCTGACCTGCGAGTCGGTTTCCAGATCCTGGCATCCGATTTGGAGTCAACCACCGTTTATTATCAGTTCTCCAACGAGTCCATCATGATTGATCGTTCTGAAACGAGTGCTGCTGCAAATACAACCACCGGCATCGACAAGTCACCAGAGTCGGGGCGTCTTCGTCTATTTGACATCAACGACTGCTGTGGCGCCGATTGCGGCCATTGTGGCCATGGCGGCCACGGGTGTGGTCACAAGGGTGAGCATGGTGAACCTTATTCGACTAAATGCAAGTCCGACATTT